AAAAATTATGGTGGCTAGAACAGAAAAAAAAAAAATCATTATCATTATCATTAAATTTTTATTATTATTATTATTATTATTTTTGCGTATCGATGTGAAAACGTTGGGGAGCGAGGACTCATTAAATTCTAACTGTAAAAAAATGGATCGATGTGATAAGGTATCGCGAGTAGTAGATCACGAGAAAAAGGGTTACAATTTAACACCCTGGGAAATAAACTCTTTCGAATCGTAAAAGATTCCCGAGGGAGGAAGGAAGGGGAAAGCGCACGTACGTGTGATAGCAGGAGCACCCGAATCGTTTTTAAAAGAAGAAGAAGAAAAGAAAACCCGAGAGTGGTAGATAAAAAATGGGTAAACATAATTAAATAAACATAAAAGAAAAAGAAAGAAAGAAAGAGAAAAAAAATGTTTGCAAAAAAACCTTTCACGGTTTAAGTTAAGGAAATGAATTAAAAGCACAGGTACGACGGACGTACGTACCTTGCAAAGGTCAGACGCTACTAACGGCGTCGTCGTCGCCAGGTATAAAGTGTGGGCGAATTTCATTCATTTCAATAATATTTATCTAGCACTCATGTTTGGAATTTTTCTTTTCTTTTCTTTTCTTTTCGGGGGGAGGGAGGGGAGGAAAGGAGGGAAGTGGAGGAGGTGGAGGAAGGCTTTCTTTCCATCCATGTCGTCTCCCGTCGTCGTTTTATTATCAAGTCGACACCGGAAACAAATTTTCCATTCGTTATTGCAAAAAAATGGAAAAAAATGTCGATCGGTTAAGAGCGGAAATAATAAAAACGTTCAGTTGTTGTACTTTATAATAATTATCATGTTGATGATGATGATGATGATAACAACAACAACAAACATTTCCTAATCGAATTATTATTATTATTATTATTATTAAACACACAGAAGTTTTTCGAAAAAAAAAGTTGAATTAAAAATAGTGAAGACGAAGGCGGGAGATTCCAACAATACGTTCTATTATAAAAAAAACGTAATTTAAAAAAAAAAAAAAAAAGTAAATTTTAAATTTCGTTACGCAACTTTCAACTGTAGCCAATCACTCACTTGATTCATTCATTCATTCATTCACTCATTCATTCATTTCATTGGTCATTTCATTCTTTACTCGTTTTTTTTTTTTTTTTTTTCGTTTAACACACCGGTCGAAAGAAAAAAGAAAAAAAACTGGTTAAACTTTTTAAATACTTGATATTTATTTCACTTATTATTATTGTTATTGCGTACAAGCGTGTGCCGCTTTTTAAAATTATTAATTTCTATCTTTATCTATCTCTATCTCTATCTTTATCTCTCGTGAATGTTGATTGTATTGAACCCGAATGCTCCCGGAAAAAAAAAAAAAGAAAAAAAATATGAGTTTGTATTTTTTTTTTTTTTTGGAAAATTGTATGTTGTTCGTTTTCGGTGACGTGATAAGGCAATCAAAGTGACAATAAGGTATTGTTTGTTTGTTTTTTTTTCCCGTTATCAGTGTTATCAAATCATCGGTTGTTGTTGTTTTTAAACTCGTTCGTTTGTTCGCTCTCTCTCTCTCTCTCACTCTCTAATCTCATATTGAAATTCGTTCTTTTTTTTTTCTTTTTCTTCTTCGACGTTACGAAAAGTAAAAAAGTTTGTTGGATTTTATCGACAGAAAAAAACATGATGATGATAATAATAATAATAATAATAATAATAATAATAATAATACTCATTCGTCGTGCAAAGTATCGATTTTGTTCCGATTAGGTTTCAAATGGAAATACCATTGAATACGTATTATTATTATTATTATTCATTTTCATTTGAATGAAAATTTTTTATAGCGTTTCGAGGGGTAAAGGGGGGGAAGGGTGGAGGGGAAAACTTTTTTAGTTTGTGAATAAATCGTCGTCGTCGTCGTTTAAAATTTACCCTCAAGATATATTACACCACCACCGAAAATAGAAGAAAAAGAAAGAAAGAAAGAAAGAAAGAGAAAGAAAAAAAACGCTTGTCGGCGTCACTTCGACGCGACTCCTAAAAGCCAATTCTACCACCACCACCACCCCCTTGTAAAGTGCTTCTTTCTTTCTTTTTTGCATTTTTTTTTTGAATGAAAGTACCACCACCACCACCCTTATTGAATTCATTCCGGAGGTTTGACAAAATGGAAATTATGTATATATATAAAAAAAAAAAAGCTTTGAATGAAAATTTGAAACCGAAAAGTTTTGATTGACTTTTTTTTCATTTTTTCTTTTCGTTCGGGACGTGGGGGGGAGAAGAGGGGGAGGGGAGGGGGTAAACACCTGAAATGAAAAATAAATCATTATGTGAATTTATAGACTTGCTACTAAGTTTACCTGTGATCGAAACGGTGGTTTTAAAAAGACCCATGTAGACACGTAATAATAATAATAATAATAATATACGAATATCAAACGAAACGAATTAGGTTTTAGAATGAGCCTGGAGGCGGCCCTGATATGTTTATGACTCGTCACGAGAACTTAAAATGAAATTTCGTGGTCAGTCATAATAAAGTCAGTTGAGAAGGGGGGAAAAAGAAAAAAAAAAAAAAAAGAATGAAAATATTAAAAACTCGGTTTAAGGGTTTATATAAGGAACGAACCACACGTGTCTCTCCCACCGATACCACCACAACCGCACCACCACCACCACCTCCTCCTCCTCATCGACGTCCGCCCAACGAAAGACATTAAAAAAAAGTGGTAGCTGAAAAGTGGTTAAGTGTTAAAACCATAAATAGATCGAGAATTAACCGTGTCTCAGCTTCTAAGTTACGTCGAGTATTATTATTATTATTATTTTTTTTTTTTGTACCTTTTTTTTTTTCATTCTTTCCTTTTCTCTCTCTCTCTCTTTCTCTCTTTCTTTCTTTTTTTATTGCCAAGGATCTAGCGGTCCCTGTTATTATTATTATTATTATTATTATTACTTAACTTCATTGATGTCGGACAATTGAAAAAAATATATACATGTTTTTTTTTAAATACGTATAATAGGAGACACGCGCGCGAGCACACCTTGTTCTTATTGTGAACCTGAGACGGTTCCATGTATATATATTTACTCCTTTTGATCCTGGTTACTCCCTCGCAGATGTTGCCTTGTCCCACCATGGAACCCTGTTCGTGAGATACAAACTCGTTTTTCGTCGAATAAGGGGGGAGACTCGCGGAAGGCTTACAAGGTTTGATTTGGTGTTATTTAGGTATAAGAGGAAAACCTATTGAAAGAGGTAGGACCACGACTTTCAGGTATTAGGGTAGAGACCTGGAAAATTTCTGACGAACACGTGATGACTTAAGGGGATTGAAAAAATGGATAATGCGACAGCTAGCTCGACGTTAAGAACATGAAAGTTTTCAGGGTTTCACTTTCGTTATTTTTTTTTTTTCTTTTTTCTCGTTTTTATTATTATTATCATTATGATCATCATCATCATCATTATTATTATTGATAATTCTTTTTTTATATCGAATTTTTGTTTTCAATGGACTAACTAAAATTTTAAAGGGAAAAGGAAAAAGAATTTCCTGTTAATTTTTTTTTTTTTTTTCTTAATGAAAAATAATTTCCTTAATTTTTTTTTTTTTTTTGTACCTGAAACGTAGTGAAACACGTGTTACGTGCGTAAGAAAATTAATATTATTATTATTATTATTATTATTATTATTATTATTATTATTATTATTTAAATAAATGAAAGCTAATTATAAAGAGAAAAAAAAAAAAAGAAAAAAATTGGACAAACGGTGTTGTCCAATTGCACGAGAACGGTAATATATAGTACTGATAATGTTGATGTTGTTGATGATGGTGATGATGATAATGATGATGATGATGATAATGATGATGATGATGATAATTGTGAGGTTTGAAATAATAATATAAAAAAAAAAAAAAAAACTAGGTACGAAGATAGGAGGGTAGGAAAAACAATGTTAATTATGTATTTCTTTTTTAAAACCCCCCCCCCCGGATCCCTTTCGCTCTCCCTCCCTCGAGGAAGACGTAACACGTTCGAACAGACCGTACAAATTATTATTATTATTATTATTATTTTTTATCTGATTAATTACTGTTTGTTTGTATAAAGTTAATGAACTGCCGGGTTTGAAAATTTTAAAAATGATCCAGAGGATGATGCAAAAGGGGGGGAGGGGGTTTGAATGATTTATCTAAAATATTTTTAATTGTTTCGATTTTTTTTTTTATTTAATCTTGACCTTTTTCCCCTTTCCCCTCCCTCCCCCTAACCTCGAAGAAAACTTTTTATTTAATATAATTTTTTGTTTGTTTGTTTGTTTGTGCGTGCATGTGCGTGTGCGTTTGTTGTTGTTGTTGTTGAAAATAATATAACTTTTATGAACATGATTAATTGCTTGTGGCGATCATGATACATTTATTTATTATTGAAGGTTTTCAGGAAGCGAAAAAAAAAAAAAAATTTTTTTTTTTTTTTATTTCAACTCGATCCGGTTGTTTACGTTTTTAATTTTTAATTATTATCATTATTATTATTTGATTTTTTTTTTATTTTCGAAAATTTAAAAATTCCGATCGTTTCGTATGCGTTGGTAGCCCCTTCTTACGTATCGAATTCATTATTTCCGTTTTCGAGTTTTGTGAATGAATTTTTTTTTTAAATCATTAATGGAGAAATTAAAAAGGAAGTACGGTGCGAAAAATGATTACGTTAAAAAAAAAAAAAATCAATCGATGTTTACGTACGCGTGCGTGCGTGCGTGCGTGTATAATTCATTTTTTAATACCGTTTCGATTGACGTGAATGACTGACTGACTGATCGATCGATCTATGAATTGACCGAGTGTGAATTATGTGTGCAAAATTCATGTACGCACGTATATAATAAATTCATAGAGAAACATGATCACTTTCTCGGAAATGAAATCGGATGTTTTGGAATTTTTTAATGTGTCGAATACCGTTTATCAACAAGCAGAAGAAGAAAAAAAAAAAAAAGACGTTAATTTTTATATATTGTCTTACGATAAATATAATCATCAATGTTTATTAAAATGATAAGGAAATAGTAAATAAAAATTATGCGTTTGTCGTTGCGTCATTATTATTATTATTACTGAGGTTTCTCTCTCTCTCTCTCGGGAGCGCGAACGGGACCGCGAACGTTTTTCCGGTTACGCTTATTTTTATTCCAAGAGGAAGAGAAGAAGAAGAAAAAAAAAAAAACTCACCCCTACTTGATATAGTATCCTAGGTTCCACGTTCGAATACGGCCTCGTATCCGCCGGTGGTATTTCTTCTAGTGGCCACAAAGTGGAATCCTCAAAATCGGATATTCTGTGTATGTCGAACCTTTGAAAAACGACCAGAGGGATTCTGGATGTGGTCGTCAACGTGACCAATCCCGTGAATACGGTCACAGTCGCCAACATTCCGGACATGGCTCCTTCCCTTACTTCCCTCTTTCTCTCTTATTTTATTTTTGAGAATTTTCGAAAAAATCGACCCTTTCGTATGTGGGAAATCAATAATCACTCGATCACTTTTTAAAAAAGAAAAATTTTTCACATAGTTTTCCGAAATTTTCCGCACTTTTTTTTTTTTTTTTTTACTTCCGTTCACTTTTAGAAAGAAAAACTTTTCCGAAATCAAAGAGTTTGTTTGTTTTTTTTTTTTAATAAGAGGAGGATGAAGTGCGCGACAATGAGGGGTTGTTCGTGAAAAACATAAAATTTTGTCTCATTGCAAAAAAAAAAAAAAAAGAAAAATTTTTCACCGTCAACAAAACTGATTTTTCCGTCCCCCCTTTTCAAATAAAAAAAAAAAAAATTCACTTACGAACATAATATTTCACTTTTAATATATTCCTGTCGGTGTTTGTCGAATCAAGGAAAATAATGTGGTTGTTGTTGTTGTTTCCCCCACGAAAAAGTACCATTCGATTCATTCATAAAAAAAAAAGAAAAAAGAACTATCAATAACGCGATTATTGTAGTAGTAACAACGTGGTTGTTTTTCCTTTTGTCATTTTTTTTAAAAACAAAAAACGCGCACACGCACACGCACGCACTCTCGCACGCACAAAAAAAAACAAAAAAAAACTCGATACCCGATATCGATTATTATTATTATTACTATTCTTTTTTATTTTTTCTCTTTCTTGTTTTTTGTTTTTTGTTTTTGTTTTTGTTTTCTGCTTTTTTTTTTTTTCACTTTACGACGATATCAGTTTTAAGTATAGCTTAAGAAGTTAATAAGATAGCGTCCACGGTCCACTGAATAACAGGTATTAAGAGCCACTAACCAACGTGGTCATATTCAACCATTTTCCACTCACTTATTTAACCAAAACCCGATATATCCAAAATTGTATTTCATTCATTCGATTCGAAATGCGCGGAGTGCGTGCGAGAGAGAGAGAGAGAGAGAAACGGAGATAAATCGCTTAAAAACTATTAATCTATCATTAACCGTCGATTCGATCCGTTATGGAGAAAAAAAAAAAATGATGATGATGATGATGATGATGATAATTTTTTTTTTACGTTGTTTTTGTTGTTGTTGTTGTTTTTTATTAAATATAAATGTGCGTACGTGTTTTTATTAAAATGTTGTATGTTATGACGTCACGATCGAATTGGCAAGGTGGCGAGTTTTATTATTATTATTATTATTATTACTATTTCATTTTATACGTTATTTTAATTACGTAAGATTACAATAATAAAATTTTTTTTTTATTGGTGTCATCATCATCGTGGTGATCGTGATCGTGATGGGCGCGATGTTACGTCATACGTTTAATTGTCACGCACGTAAGGGGAAAGGGAAAAGGGGGGAGGGGAAATCCGTTTTTTCGATGATGATGATGATGATTTGTGCGATCACGTCACGTCGTTAAAAAAAAATAGAAGAAAAAAAAAAGTGAAATCGGTGAAATTTTTTGTTTTCCGTGCGTTTTTTTTCAACTGGGATTGGGGGAGAGGAGAGGGAGGGGGGAATAATAATAATAATAATAATAATAATAATAAGAGAAAGGAGGGCGCTGGTGTTCCATGGTTGACAAGCCTTTTAGTCATATCGTTTTCTTTAATTAATTTTAATAGTTTTTTTTTAGGGTTTATTTATAAGTTATATATCAAAAGTTTTGTAATTTAGTCTAGTTTACAGTGATATAATTAGTTTTTTAAATTATTTAGTAATAACTATATTATCTCAAGTTTAAATTTACAAATTGTTCAACGATTCCATGTGACAAAAGGAAGCGTGGGCAATAAAAAACCTTAGAAGGCACCTTAGTACATATAAGTTAAACGGATAAGTACCTCATTTTAAGACTTAAATTTCAATTGTAAAACGTTAGGCTAACAAAGAAATTGAACACATAACCAAAAAATTTTTTTTATTTTTATTTTTTTTATATTTCTTTGATTAATTATAAGTGATTTGACTATTTATATCTTTATCTTATTTAACAAAATAAGAATTAAAATATTTTTACAATAATATAGGTTGATACATGATTTTTTCAGGGTGTAATTTCTATACCCTTATTGTTAAGTGTTAACTTGTGATTGTATGTTATTTTAGCCTTGTCTTAAGCTAACTTAATTCATTGTAGTAAAGTTTATTAATAATAACATAGTGTAACTAATACCTTTCTTAAATCTGAATCAAATTAGGAAAGTATAGTAGTAGTCTTTATATTAAGTGATATTAGTGTGAAAGGGTACAACAGATTTCTCTTTAACCAGACTTCATTTAATAAATTTTGCATCTTTTGAATTACTTATAAGAGTTAAATATCATTGTCATACTAAATAAGAATAGAGGTAGTTCAATATAAATACTTATTATTTATTGGTTTAATGTAATGTATAGCTGGATATAACATCTCTGTACTCCTGTGTTAATCTACTGATTGTTTTAATACAGAATATTTTGCCATATACTTTATGCAAATCTCCATTTTGATCTACATTAACACTAGCAGAGATCAATTTCTTTTATACTACTTAATAATAGTACAGAATTGTAATTTGTATGTTGTGCATACAGTTAAGTGTAGTCTATGTAATCTCTTTTATCCTTAAATTAGTTTGTTTTGTTACTGCTTAGTTTATAATCTTGATAGTGTAATATTGCCTGTAAATTTGATTCAAGATCAATTAATTAAGTTATAAATAAGTAGCCTTTTAGTATTTGTTTCTAATGTAAAAATTGTGAAAAAGCATTATACATTTGAGGGACCACAACTTAAACAAACCTTATACAACTTAAGTTGAAGTCTAATTGCATATTATAACTAAATAGTCTAGCCAAATATCTCTACCATACTCATTGAAAATAGGGATAGCTTAACAAAATAGGTTAATAAGATAGTTAGTAATATCTGATTTAATATATCAATTGGGTAAAAAATTGGTTCTGTCTAATCCAGTTGTCTGATAACTAGTGTTCTAATTGTATAATATTTAACCTTACATTAAATTGTTTCTGCCTTATTGCAGCATATTTTACATAATTTACAGCAAATTGACTTTTATAAGTATAAGAGACATAAGTGATAAGTTTAATTAAAAATTTTATAATAGTGAACTCTAAATACTGAATTAGAAAATGTTTTGTTATAAAGGTGAATGAATTTATAAATTTATATATAGGTAAAAAGAGCAAAATGAGAACAAGACAAAGTAAGAACCAAAACAAATCTTGTTCTACTGTCGACCTGAGGCAGCTCGACGAGAATGTGAATTTCACTGCTTCTGACCCTGGCCACTCCAACGATGTTAGTCACCGGAGCCCAGTTCAGGAGACAACTCGTTCCCATCGAATAAGATGGACTCAGGAAGACCTTCAAGAATTGATGTGGTGCTATTTTTACTCTCAAAAATTTGGTTCAGGATCGGAAAGTGACACCTTTAAAATCTGGAGAGGGAGAAACCCAAACAGCAGGAAGGACATGACATCGAAGAAGTTGGCTGCCCAAAGAAGATATATAATAAAAACAAAAAAAATTGAAAATGATAAATTAGAAGAAATTAAGAAAAATGTAGACTCTTCGTGCAGTAATGTTATACGAGATAATGCACAAATAATAACAGAATTAAATGAGTCTAACCACAAGAGTAAAACCGATACTGACGAGCAATTGTTGACTGATGCAGAAATGAAGAGCATCGAAGAGAGACTAACTGAAGAGATAAAAAAAGTAAAGATGTGCCCATTAATAAACAGGGAGCCATTAAGGAAAATTTACAAAAATAAAAAGGCAACTGAAGTTTTACATCTTATAGATAACACCCTCATAAATGTATTAGAAAAAGTGGTAGACATTAATTTAACCACAATTAATGCAATTATATATGCTGCGGGGGTAGTTGCCACAGATATTATACTTGGGCCAAGAAAAGAAGCTCGTCATAAAGGAATGGAAACAAAAAAGTCAACATCACCAATATGGATACAAAGAATAGAGGGAAAAATAGAAAGAATAAGATTACATATCTCCCTGGTATCCGAAATGAAGAAGAATAATAATTTAAAGAAGAGGACAATAAAGAAACTGGATCACCTTAAAAGGATCTATAAATTGAAGACCATGGAAGATATAGAACTTACCATGGAAACTTTAAAACAAAAGGTATTGCTCTATTCTCAGAGAATAAGAAGATATAAGAAGAGAGAGCAGTTTTGGCGACAAAATAAATTGTTTGAATCGGACCCAAAGAAATTTTACAGAACAATTAGAGAGCAGAACATACAAAATGGATTCAGCACCTTAAATGTAGAAAAAATGGCAGACTTTTGGTCAAATATTTGGGAAAAATCTCATCCATTAAATAAGAACTCTACATGGATGAATAAAGAAAAAGAAGCACATGCCTGGATTGCTTCTTCAACAATGTCGGATGTAAGAATGGCGGATTTAGAAACATGCCTAAAAAACACGGCCAATTGGAAAAGTCCCGGATTAGATAGGGTACAAAACTTCTGGATTAAGAATTTTACAAGTACCCATAAGTATTTACTGGTATCCATAAATAAATTAATAATGGGACGGCAAGAAATGCCAGAATGGATAACCACAGGTAAAACGTATTTGCTGCCAAAAAAATCAGGAGCTACGGAACCGAAAGATTTTCGGCCGATAACCTGTTTGCCCACAATGTATAAAATAATAACAGCTATTATTGCTGAAAAGATTTATGGGCATTTAAGAAAAAATAACATTTTTCCTCCTGAACAATATGGATGCAGAAAAGGGTCTTACGGCTGCAAGGAGGTTTTATTAATAAATAAATTGATCATGGCCAGTGCAAAACAAAAGAGGAAGAATTTAAGCATGGCATGGATTGATTATCAAAAGGCCTTTGATAGTGTGCCTCACGAATGGATTATTGAGGCATTGAAAATATATAAAGTAGACCCT